GCTTTACTTTGATTTACATAGACTTTTATACAAAAATTTCAACCAGTGGCGGTGCTTTTGTGGAGCGAATTATAATAATGTGGTAGATGATTTGGACGTAGTTAATAACGATGATTATAATGATAACAAAACATTGATATGCAGGTGGCGATAAGAATATCAAAGGTAGTAATATGAGTGAATGTAGACAATTCAATAAACAAATTAGGTCACATCTTAAAATCTGTGTATTACTAAATTTAGGTCAAGTGGACTGATAATCGGTGTTCACATAAATATCATAAAAGTACGAAGGAAATGGAAAATAAGTAAGGGCGGGTGGAGCGTTTTGATCAGAATTTGCCTAGGCAAGCAAGGGAGATACAAAGGTATAACAAACTTCTTTTGTCTGAAAAGACTAAGATTGCTCTCGAATTAATTCCCATAGCTTCTTCGGCCATGTGTTAAAGGCAGGTTCGAATTCCGTACGAAAGGCTCGATGGAATACGATAGATAACTTTGAGGGCACTGCTTCCGCCCATTTGATGACTGCTACCAATCAAATGAGCCTAAATAGAACTTCTTATAGATTTTATTTGACCTTTTCCGAACCATGAAGAAAGATGTTCATTGATGCGTTTGTTAAGCTGTTCAGTTGTTCGCAACTAAATTTGCAGATACACATAGAAGTGGCACAGCTAGGTAGCTTGTCTTTCACTTGAGCAACCATAATTATTTTCCTTCACGTTCCCAGTGGAACATAGGGATTCAAGCTAATAGCTTGAAGTTTCCGTAGCAGTGTTTATTTTACAGGATGGGGTTGCTAGCCTCATGCCCAACCATTCCTCTTCACCAGCATTATTTCTGGCTTAGCGAGGTAAAGGAGTGCGTCGGCCGGGGATCGAACTCCGGACCATGTGCATGGTCGGCGAGCGTCCTAACCTCTATTCCACCGACGCACGAGCAACCATAATTGGCTGGCTGGAAAGTGACAAACAAAGGGTGGCGGTAGTATAAGTCCATTTTGATCACTCTCGATAATCTCAATCGCAATAATCACAATTTCTCCACGCCCTGAGGATTGATTCCCTGTCCACATGAAGGTGGGGGAAGTTGCACAGATCTACACTAAGACTGCAGTTGAACAGGACTTGAAGCCACTTACTTATATATCATCCTCCAACGTTTTGGCTAGTAATAGTCCAACATCCTTGAGAAATCCACTGTCACCATAACATGACGCTGTACAGCATCCTATACAAGCAGTATCCATAGTTGCGAAGACAATATTTCTATATTTCTCAATGTGCTCTATTGAATGACTAGTGAGCAGATTGCGCCCTCAAACTAAATTCAAAATGACAGCAGCAATGTAATTTCACCACCATTACATAAATTTTTGTGAGTTAAATAATACTTATCCATGCCTGTAAAACTGGTGTGTCCTACATAGATAGGAACAAATATAAATTACTATTAGCTGGAGTCCCTCATGTTCACAAAGTGAGAATACATTATTATAAGATGCAATTTATTGTCATACGAGGGAAATGACCTCGAGCTTTATTTTTTCCCAAGTATCTGTAATCCATCCAATACATACTTGGGTATTATTTTGTTAATGCGAAGTCAATATCTCTATATTTGTTGATGTGGTCCACTGAATCACCAGTTATCAGATCTTCCCCAGCAACCATGTAATTTAACCACAAATTAAATTTATGTAATTTAGATAATACTTATCCATGCCTGTACAACTGGTGTGTCCTACAAAGGTAGGAATAAATATGTACCGCATTATATTATCATTACTAAATATGCTTACTAATCGTATGTGTAATTTATCGAATTGATGATGCCCGTAAACTGGCGTCCGTCATGTACAAAAAATGAGAATATATTTTCATTATATTAATTAGACAGGTGACTGATACGTGTAATAATGAATTGTCAAGTTAGGTTCGTGGGTAGATTAACAAAGATTTTGGCTTGTGGAAATATTGTGTCGTCCGAAAACGAAAAAGTGGAGCCACGTGGAGGAACCTTTGATATTGATGAAGCCCCAAGCTTTTCACAGAAGAATGTGGACCTACTATTCCCGGCATGCCTGTCGTTCGTTAACCTCCAGTGTCTGAACTCAATTCGGACTACTCAGTGTGGAGCAAACGCATGCAGGATTCCCTCAATGTAGCACCAGCAGGTCACCACTACATGCGAATCGCCAATTCGATAGCAGATGAAGCCTACACAGGAGCCTACGCTGCTGGTTTTTGTAGCACGAATCCCCCTAGCAAAACTGAAGCACAAGATATGTACAAGATATGTTGGACAAAAGTATATTCGCACCCTCTTCTTCGCCATTGGCGTCAGCCATCACCTTGGTCAGAAAGAAAGACAGCTCTATCCGAATGTATATTGACTACTGCAAACTGAATGCCGTGACCAGCCGTGACTCCTTCCCCATTCCGAGCATTGATGCAACTCTCGGTGCACTTACTGGCTCTCAACGGCTCTCTACTTTAGATCTGGCATCCCGGTGCTGGCAAGTAGAAGTGCACTCGAACGATTGTCGTAAGACTGCGTCGGTGTCACGACGGTTAGGACGCTCGCCGACCATGCACATGGTCCGGGGTTCGGTTCGGCCGACGGACACCTGATTTCAATGGTCGGCCTGCTAAATTTTGGCTACCGTTATCACATGCTGAAAATTCCATACTTGTACCAAAATACTCTGTGGAATCAAACTATGATTGACAAGATTCATACTCCTGAGTGGCCTGTACGAATTCCGCACAACGCCCTCCGTACTATGTAACGCTCCCGCCACATTTCAATGCTTGATGCAGGTAGCCCGTGACATGTTGGTTCCGCATAAGTTTCCAATGTATCTTGACGATATCACTGTACATGAGAAGTTCCCAGAGGATCATACTGATAACATACAGACTGTCCATACGAGCTTAAGAACAAATAAATTGAAGTTGAAGCCTTCTGGAAGCTCCTTTCTCCGGAGGGAAGTCACATTTTCGGGCCACCGTATCTCACCAAATTGCATCCAAACAGACCCAGAGAATGGCCCATGCCCCAGTCTTGTGAAGAAGTTCATAGCTTCCTAGGGTTCGCATTATACTATCTACGTTTCGTCTCTGCTTTCTGCACCCTTGCCTCGCCTCTGCATCGACTGACAGAAGAGGGCCGTAAATTTGTATGGACTAACGAATGCCAACATGAGTTCGACGAGTTAAAGAGGAACCTGACGTCACCTGTTATCCCTGTGTTTACAGACACGTCGCCATTAGCTGGTTCTTTTATTTCGGACTCCGATGCGAGCACCAATGCTAAATGGACTGTCCTTTCCTGAGCAGTAACGAAAGGTCGAGAGCATGTTATTGCACATGCCAGTCGAAAGCTAGACAAACGTGAAACACGGTATCCGACTACACGGAGGGAAATGCTTACCCTGTGCATTTCTCCAAACACTTTCGACATTATCTGCCTGGGAGCTCCTTTCGAGTACGCGCTGACCACCGCGCACTGCAATGGCTCCAGATATTCTATGAACCAGAAGGCCAGGTGACTCGTTGGCAAGGACGTTTACGAGGATTCGGTATCACCTGCGAGTATCTTCCAGGACCTCCATGTGCTGATGCCAATGCTCTCCCTTCATCTCTCTCTCTCGATTGACAGATTGTGTTTCAACAGTAAGTGCTATGCTTGATACGGGGATGGATGTCGACTGGGCCTCACTACAAGCAACTGATGCTGACATACAGCCTATTTACTCCCACCAACCTCATGGGAATGATAAACCTTCGAACAAGGAATTATGGGATTTATCCGACACAACACAGAGTATGTGTACTAAATAGGGTGTGCTACGACTGATAAACGACGTCTTATTTATAGTGGAGCCATCTACACCGCATCGTCTTCTAGTCTCACGTGTAAGAGTTCGAGAGGTGATCCAACTTGAACACAATCAACTGGCTCATGCTCGTCAACGGAATCTGAACACGGCACTACTTCATCATGACGTCATTGAGTTCTGCCGCCGCGTTACGTGTAGCAAAATCAAGAAGCCTCCTTAAATGCCACAAGCACCCGTAGTGCTCAGGCTAACTGACGTCCCTAACCACAGTTCACGCGCGGACCAATGTATTCAATGAAAGTTTATGTCTGGCCTCGTAGATCGTCAGTCCCAGCAGGATAGTGTCCCGAGTTTTCCGCCGCATGGCGAGGGCCATATGAGATCGTCCAACATTGACCACCAACCACGTATGTTCTTCGCGACCAGTAACGACCTCAAGTCAACGCTATCACCGCCCATTAAAACCAACTGAAACCGCAGCATCCAGCCAGCCTAAAAAACAGCCAAACACATCCCAACCACCACCTCCCACCTATCACTACGAGGTGCCAGCTGAAGGAGGCAACGTATATCCAACACCACAACCAGGTACCGATGACTGTGCCTTAAGAGGAGAGGAGCCGATGTAACGAAAAAGAATCCATTATAGATAGAGTACTGTACACTGCTTTCTTTCCTCTCTCCTTCAGGAAAACACTGAGGAGTCTATTCCGTGGGACAGGAGGTACAACGTCTATCAGGACTCAATATCAGTGATGACAATTAGACTGTTTTGTTTGTGGGCCGTTGACCTGCGCCCTCCGATTTCCGCCATTCCACTGAATACACGCCTTTGCCGAGCTCCCGTCCTGATTCTCTCCCTGATGTGACTATTTCTCATTGTGCTACATATGATGGCGTCATCGTGTTCTGCACAAATATCTGTACTCAGTTTATTTAACAACATACATCTGCCTTGAACAAATACTTGCAAGTCGTCTCACAAATAGAACTGCAAACCAGAGGGATTGGCTTCTAGAGCAAGTAACTGCGGAACTAACATAGGCGAAAAGTAGCCTATCTCATGAAAACTGAAAGACAATGAAATTTGTTAGTTTGCATCAAACTCCACCAGTCACTTTAATAGACATAATTTCAACACATTTTCCTATGGATGAAATTACGCACACTCAGAAATTGGTTTGGCTAGTAGTGCACCTTGAATGTTTGAAATTTCGTTTTAATGCATTCTTGGCGTCGCGCCTTCACTGAGCTCCCGGTGTGACTGCTCGCCCCTCATTGTGTTATCATGGGGCACACTGTTGGGCTTGCTATCTGACCCAGTTATAAGGTGAGTTGTACAATTTTCCTATCTATTAAATTTGACACTCAATATGTGACATTTAAAATATAATCCTTGTCTTAGTACACTATCCAGTCACAAGGTTTCTTACTTCGAGGTTGTGTTAATAGGTACTAACACGTTAGGTAGAGCACTGATCAGGGTTACCCAAGGAAAGTGAGTTTAGTAGGTGCTGACGTTTAGAACTATCTAGAGGTTGACATCGGGATTTGCAGGCCTATCACTGAAAACCTCGATAAGGAATTGGGCGATATTTTCGTGACATGTACGAGAATGTTATTCAGCGTGTTTTTTTTGCACTGTTTGACGTCGGTGGAAGTGACTTCAATCTAGGTGGTGTTACTTTGAACTCTTCTGATTACTTGATAAGAATTACCCATCGTCATAATGACGGTCGTTCGTTTGGAAAGCCATTGTCTAGAGTTACCTATAAATCTACTGAAAGTTTGCATCGCCTCATTGTCCTTATTGATATTAAGCTTATGGAAATGAAGTTAGTGTGGAGTAATTTTGGATAGTTACCTCTGTTTTGATGGATATTAGAGTTTGCAAACACCCAGATTATGACACGCTCTGAAGGCTTGAAGCTTGTGGAAATCCGGTTATTTCTGCATGATGAAGGTGAGATGTGGAGAAAGCAGACGAGTAAAGATTAAGTATGGCGCCACCAGAAGACCACGATAGATAATCATGTCACTTGTTAAGAGTGTAGTGTAAGTTCCGCGTAAAGAGAGTGCTCCTGGCCTCCCTTATCTACAACTAATGTCTGCGGTTGAAGTTAAAGGTTAGATAATGGTATTGTTTACATCAGAGTTACTAGTTAGTATCACGGACATAATTGAAATAGGAGGTATGAATAACATTGGGTCATATCATCAAGCAGTATAAACATTCAAATACATAATCTAGCAACATGTGCTTATACACTCCTTTATTGGAATGGCTACTTTGAAGTTATTTCGTGTCCGGTATAGTTACTGTCCATCGAAAAAATAATGATTTTTATCTTCCAAACCAAAGTGCAACATCTGGATCCCTTGCACCAATATAATTTCTTTATATCTATCTAACTGATAGGTGATGTGCAAATTAAGTCCAGTACACGTTGAAATCTGGGTCGAAATGGTGGTAGACAGACAGCAGATCCAAATGCAAACTGATCCCTTATCACTACCAAATCTTCGGCATCATCGCTGCTAGCCGATATCGGTAACCTTGTGCATGACTGAAACTATGACTACGCGGAGAAATCACATTCGACATCATTCCATCAATGAATTATGAACACACATGAAGAAGATCCGGGAGCTGATAGTGAGAGTGAAATGAAACCAAACCACCTCGTGTGAAGACTGAGGTGGTGGCACCCTGTCTCGCCAACATACAAGGCCATCCAATCGAAGAAATCTCTCTGTATGTGCGTTTGTGTACATGTGAGTATATGCCAACCTCCTAAATTCCAAACAAGCGGTACGAGAGTTAAACTCATTGTCGGAAATTTGTCTTTCCATCACAAAAATGTGTACCTGTATCATCTCGAGGCGATCTCAGTTCACCGAGTGGAGAGTATGCAGGACAGTAGAGGTGAAGTGAGAATTCCAACCCAGAGTTGTGATCGCTAATCCAGAGAGAAGCCGATTCTTTACCTTACCAGATGCAGATATATTAGATGGTGCGCAGTGCATATGTAACAGAAGTCCGTAGGACTAGTGGATGGCATCTTGAAGACTCCGTTAGAACATTCCTTTGTGTCTCTGGGACCTGTATCAGCTTTCAGGAGAAAGCAATTAAAGTGATCGCAGACAGGCTTTTCACCATTCACAAGGGTTTCATAAGTAGTGTAAGACCACAGTCTGGTATAACTCACTATGTATCCGGAAGTCTATTGAACTTCTGAATACATAGTACGCCTTGCTTGTCGTCTGAGATTATACTAACCTGTGGTCTCACACTACTTATGAAACCCTTGTGAATGGTGAAAAGCCTGTCTGCGATCACTTTAATTGCTTTCTCCTGAAAGCTGATACAGGTCCCAGAGACACAAAGGAATGTTCTAACGGAGTCTTCAAGATGCCATCCACTAGTCCTACGGACTTCTGTTACATATGCACTGCGCACCATCTAATATATCTGCATCTGGTAAGGTAAAGAATCGGCTTCTCTCTGGATTAGCGATCACAACTCTGGGTTGGAATTCTCACTTCACCTCTACTGTCCTGCATACTCTCCACTCGGTGAACTGAGATCGCCTCGAGATGATACAGGTACACATTTTTGTGATGGAAAGACAAATTTCCGACAATGAGTTTAACTCTCGTACCGCTTGTTTGGAATTTAGGAGGTTGGCATATACTCACATGTACACAAACGCACATACAGAGAGATTTCTTCGATTGGATGGCCTTGTATGTTGGCGAGACAGGGTGCCACCACCTCAGTCTTCACACGAGGTGGTTTGGTTTCATTTCACTCTCACTATCAGCTCCCGGATCTTCTTCATGTGCGTTCATAATTCATTGATGGAATGATGTCGAATGTGATTTCTCTGTGTGGTCATTGCTGCAGTCCTGCATAGGGTGATAGATATCGTTGTGGCGTTGTTAACTGGAAGCACTTTAGATTGCTTTCGTCGACGTTTTTGTGTGAGGTGAGTTGTTTGGGCTTATTCTAGGAATTATTTTTCATATGAGAGTTTTTGTTTAATGGTTGCGTGTTGAAATTGCCAGAATAGAGTTGAGATTTCCACCGGAGATTTTGTTTATCTGTTAACATTCTGAAATTAGTGGATATATTTCGTGCCATAAGAATGATTTATTGACTTAATAGACTGACTTTCCTACGCTTAATATGTGACGAGATTCATTTGTCAGTCGAATGTCTGTCTGTCTGTCTGTCTGTTTTCGACATAGAACTTTGCACATATGTGCGGCAGTTCAAGTCGCCACAATCTATGTAGCACGCAAAGCAAGAGAAGAAAGTAGAAGAAATGCATAATATAGACAGTAAACAGGGGTGTGAGACAAAGGAATAGTAATAACGGAGAACAAAAGTTTAATTGGAAATCATAAGTCACAAGGAGTGGATGCATCTGCGCCACTGAGAACGATTTTGAGCCATGTCACCAATTGTTTCCAACCATTGGTTTTTACCATCCCGAGGGCCCCAACCAGGAAGTCTACATCTTCCTACGTGACTTAGATTAACTGTTGTGGATTTCATTGATTGGTGCCATGTTTTGGTTTGACCGCCGCTAGCTTTTTTCCAGCCTGACCCTATATCAGCTAACATTGCCCGTCGAGGAAGGCGATGACTAGGCATACGTAGCACATGTCCTAACCATCTCAGTCGAAGTAATTTCACAGTCTCGTCGATTGATTTCCCCGCCTTACCTAGCACTCGACGCCTAACCTCAATATTGCTCACCTTATTATACCACTTCACGCGGGAGATAGAACGCAGACACCTATGATCGAAGACAGCTAATCTTTTCATGTCTTCTGCTCTCAATGGCCAGGTCTCACAGCCATAAAGGAGGACGGGGCGGACTGTTGAGCAGTACACACGCCCTTTGGTCGATAGTCGGATATCGCGTCTACGCCAGAGACGGCGAAAACTGGCGAATGCGAACCTAGCCCTCTGTATTCGTGCTGAAATTTCGTCGGAGATCAACCCGTTGGGGCTGATGGTACTTCCCAAGTAATTGAAGCGGTCAACGTGTTCTACCACTTCCCTTCCTATTTCTAATCTAGGGGTCGATGAAGTCCAATCCTGCAGCATCATCTTACATTTTACAGGGGCGAATCGCATGCCAAACATGCGGAGATTGTTGCTCAGGGTGTTCAGTAGACTCTGCATTTTGTCAGAGTCCTCGCCTAGAAGGACTATATCGTCCGCATATTCTAAGTCAACGAGATTATTCCCTGGTAGCAAGTCAATCCCTGAGTCGCTGAAGTGAGTTAGGGTTAAGTCCATTAGTACATCTATGATGAAATTGAATAGGAATGGGGATAATGGGCATCCTTGACGGACGCCACTAGTCGTCACCACTTCAGATGACAACTCGCCATAAGCCCTCACCTGGCTGCATGAGTACGAGTAGAGTGCCTTAATCAGTGCAATGTATTTTCTTGGCATTCCCTTTACAGCCAAGCATCGCCAGAGAACCTCCCGGTCGACAGAATCGAATGCCGCCTTTAGGTCAAGAAATATAATGATTGTCGGACGCCGGTAGGAATGCCTATGTTCTAGAATCTGTCGAAGGGTGAAGATGTGATCAATACACCCTCTACCTGGCCTAAAACCTGCCTGGTTTTCTCGTGTTTGTGTCTCCCGAGCACCGCTTAATCTACGCAGTATTATTGAGCCTAGGATTTTAGATACTATATTAGTCAAGCTAATCCCTCTGTGATTATCACAAGACGACTTGTCCCCTTTCTTGTATATCGGGATGATCAGTGACTTACACCAACCCGATGGGACTTCCTCTGATTCCCAGACGCTGCCTAGAACCTCCGTTAACGCAGACAGTAAACTGTCGCCTCCGTACTTAAATACCTCTGGAGTCAATAAATCAGGTCCTGCTGCTTTGCCTAGCTTCAGATTGGTGACAGCTTTAGTAACCTCAGTTAAGGACGGAGGACCTGTGTCTATCTCCCATTCAGGGAGGTGTTGGATGTCCGGTAGGTTAAGTGTGGCTGTGGGCCAATTAAACTGCTCCTCATAGTGTTCTTTCCAGCGCTCCAGACGTCTATCCTGGGAGCTAATTATGGTGCCATTTTTCTCGGAGATTGTTTCGCTTATCATTTGCCTTTTACCACCTGTTTCCCTGATAAGCCTGAATAGTTGTCTGGTGTTGCCTATCGCCGATGCTTTTTCCATCTCTTTCGCCTTAGTCAACCACCACTGTTCACGGTCCTTGCGGAGACTTTTCGTAAGTTTCCTCTTGTGCAGCTTTCGCTCCTCATTGAATTCGGAGCTCGCCGGAATAAGTCTTCTAGCATCTATCAGTTCGGATGAGGCAGTCGAAATCCAGTGGTTTTTACTCACCTTTGGAATTACCTTATTCACAGCTTTTACAGCTGTATCTATGGCTGACTGAATATTCTTCCAGGCTTCTTCAGGGTGAGCGCAGCTGTCAAACTCAGATATGTGTTTAGCTAGTTCTTCCTCAAATAGGGACTTAGTTCCCTGGTCGAGCTGGGGACGTGATGGGTTTACCGCTCGCTGTTTCCTACGTCCGTTCAGTCGTAAGCACACACGAGCGCGGACCAGTGCGTGATCGGTATCTACACACGTGTTCCAGAAGGAGCGACAATCTCCTACCGACCCACGCCAACGATAGCTTATTGCTATGTGGTCTATTTGTGTCCAGCGTTGATTTGATGATGGGGGTCGCCAGGTCAAACAGTGTCTCTCCTTGTGTTTGAAGTTAGTGCTTACAAGAAACAAATTATTATCTGAACAGAACTGTAGGAGACGGTCACCGTTGTCGGTTCGCTGGCACGGAATTCCGTATGTGCCACCAACATTCTTCTCAGATTGACACAATTTCCCTACTTGAGCATTAAAGTCACCAGCTAAAACGACTATATCTGAGCGTCTAGCCTTTCGCAGCAAACTAGACAGCTTTTGGTAGAACTCATCCTTCGTTTCATCCGAACTGCAGTCAGTGGGGGCGTAGGCGGAGATTACGAAAAGGCATCGGCGAGTAGTGCAGTCCTTTCTCCTTTTCACTGATCCATTCAGGCGGACAGCACACATTCGGCTATCTACCGGGATCCAGTCAAGTAATGTCTTTTCTGCTCTAGTACTTAAAGCTATCCCAACACCAGCTAATCCTCGTGAGCTAGCCGTCGCATCTCCTGACACCCTTAAGGTGAATTTTGCAGATTCATCCTGTTGGCCAGGTGGGGTTAGGTGAATAACCACACTTGGGTCTTGTATGCGTGTTTCTGAAACACAACATACATCAATGGCTCGGGATGCCAGAGTCTTGGCTAGAGATGCTTGTTGTCCTATTTGGCAGAGTGTCCTAACATTAAATGCTCCTATATAAAATTGGTGGCGTGGTTTTAGGAGACAATCGGTGGTGGCTTTTTGGCTTCCATCGTTATCAGTGAACACAGAGTGAAGGGGAAGTGAAGAGCCAACAAGTAGAGGAGTTGCATTGGTAGAAGGAGTGCAAGATAATAGAGATGAAGATGAAGACAAAGATGAGCGAGGATTAGAGGGGTTTCGCGTGCACTTCGGATTGTGAGGGCGATTGGTACTTCCCGGCTGCCCACACCGTGGAAGTTGGTTGCGTGACCGCAGAGCCCAGGGGACAACTGCTTGAGGCCGGTCACACACGGCCTGTTTTTGTTTGTTCTTTTTTATTTGGTGTGTCTCAGTAGCGTATTTATCACTTCTGCCCTGTGACACGGCAGCAGAAAGCGCGGTCGTTGTTAATCCGGGCCCCGGCCGATCCGGCATGAAATTTTGTGATTTATTTGGAGTCATAGGATTGGATTGGGTAACTGCTTTTAGTCTAACTGCTATCCAAACAACCTTTCTGGCATGGTAGGACCTGCAGGAACATAAGTTCCAGCCAGTATAGCTTGTTGGGTCATTGCAGTGTTCAAGCCCGACCACCACGTCAAGGTAGCAGCTTTCGGTCGGGTCAGTCGAATGTGGAATACCTGAGCTGTGGGTTGTAGCTTAGATACCTGAACGACGCAAAAGTTGTGCTGGTTGAAGGTGTTGCCTGTGAAGGGTTGTATCTCTGGACTGTTTCTGTCTAGGTTTGCGTGCCACATTGAGTGTGTCATCCTGAGCTGCTGCGCGTCGATGCACTGTTT